AGTCGCTGGAGTATATTTGTAGCACTAGCCAACAATACATTGTATGGGTCAAAATGATCGATTTTTCTTTTATGCCAAAAATCATTAGGATATTAATTAAAGATCATGTTCCATGAAGATATTTTGTACATTTCCAACAGTAAATATAACAAAACTTAATTTTTGATTTGTAATATGCATAAGCACTTGGACATCATTTGGACAACTTTAAAGGCGATTTTCTCAATATTTTGATTTTTTTTGCATCCTCAGATTCCAGATTTTCAAATAGTTGTATCTCGGCCAAATATTGCCCTATCCTAACAAACCATACATCAATAGAAACCTTATTTATCTCAATTCCAAAAAACTGACCCTTATGACTGGTTTTGTGGTTCAGGGTCTCGTATAATCTTGTGATGCAAAGCTGCATTTTTAGCATCATTACTCCATTCTTCAGTGCACATGATGTTTGTTTCAGTTTTGGAGGCAGGTGTACCTGCTGACGGTGCTGGCTCTCATCCTGGCTGTGTTTGCGGCTCAGATTCATCCGCTCTACCTCACACAGCAGTGGAAGAAACTGCGCTCTGTCATGTTCTGCTCTGTGGCCGGATACGGCATCATCCCAGCCTGCCACTGGGTCTGGCTCAATGGAGGATTTGACTCTGAAATCGTAAAGGTGATATATTTGCATTGAGACACTGTGAGGAGGGAAATAGCAATATATCCCTTCTACCAGTGACGATTGTGGTACTATTAATATTGATCACTTCGTCTCTTTGCAGGTGTTTTTTCCTCGAGTCATGATCATGTATTTGATTGCCGCCTCAGCATTCCTTTTCTACGTCAGTAAAATCCCAGAACGATACTTTCCAGGTGATGTTTTCTATATTAAATTGCTATATTTTATTGAAGGAATTGTTCACCCCTAAAATGAAAATTTGCTGAAAATGTCACGCCATCCAAGATGAAGATGAGTTTGTTTCTTCATGTGAAAAGATTTGGAAAAATGTAGTATCATAAATGGATCCTCTGCTGTGAATGGGTGCCATCAGAATAAGAGTCCAAACAGCTGTCCATTCACACCACTCCAGTCTTAACGTCCAGTTAACGTCTTGTGAAGTGAAAAGCTGCATTTATGAGACAAATCTATCAAGGCATTTTAGCTGTATATTTCTCTCCTGATTCAGATGCAATATTATGGATAGATTACTTTTAGACAGAAGCAATGATTTGAAGTTAAAAACATCTTAATTATGGATTTGTTTCTTACAAACATGCAGCATTTCACTACACAAGATGTTAATTGATGGACTGGAGTGGTGTGGATTATTGTGACGTTTATATCAGCTGTTTGATGGCACCCATTCACTGCAGAGGATCGATTGGTGAGCAAGTGATGTAATGCTACATTTCTCCAAATCTGTTCTGATGAAGAAACAAACGCAACTACATCTTGGACGGCCTGAGGGTGAAAATCTTTTACCCTTCTTTTTATACCATATATTTGGGGGGGGGGGACTCTTTTAATACTGATGTTATATTTAAAGTTGTTAAAAACTATCAAATCCAGATCACCAATCTAATTCTGGTTACATGTTGTGCTTTTTTTTTTCTTGAATCATGTTGAAATAATCTAATCAAATAAAATCGAATTGACCAAATTAGTCAAGGATCACATTGATTCAGAACAAATATTTACCCACCTTTTTATGTCTGTCCTCACAGGCCAGCTGAACTATCTTGGAGCCAGTCACCAGCTCTGGCATGTGCTGGTGGTGGTCATGTTCTACTGGTGGCACCAAACCGCTATCTACATCATGAAGTACAGACACAATCAGCCCTGCACAGACTACAGCAGTCATGGTTAAACGCGGTTATAAAATCACCTGAGCCATTTATGTTCAACAAATTCATTTGGTTTTTGTTTGGCATTATTTTAAGTTGTGCTAATAGAATCAAACAATGAAACTTTACCTCTCATTTCAGTCATTTGCCTTTGAACACCCTACTGTAGGGTTACCTGCAATGAAAATCACGTTTCGTGTAATCAGTCGACTTCCTCTGCCTGAACAAATGTTTCATACATATTCACTGCTGGATATCAAGTGTCTTCGTCTGTTACTTCATGTATTTTGTTTTCTATTGAGCCTTTTCCCCATGGTATCATTGGGGTTGTGAAACTATACATGCTGATAATATGTTGCCTAACTTTTCTGGAATGTCCTTAACTTAAATGCTCTTAACTATCACTGTTCTGAGGAATTCTATGGTAGAGGGTAATTCTGTAATTTCTGTAATCAATAAAGGAAGTTGTTTTGATGTATTAAACACATTTGAGTTCATGTATAAAGCAGCACTGGAAATTGGGCATTTAAATGACTAAGAAAGCATTACTTCAGTACTTTTTGTGAACAATGGGTAAAAATCACTACTGTATGCACTGAATTGATTATGAACTAGCCTACTGTACAAAGCCTTTTGTGTGACTTTCTCCGTCTCATCATTTTTAAACGTGTTGATGGTTTCATTTTCTTTATTTGATATGATGTAAACTGCCTGTCTGAATGAATATATCTGAATTGTGGAACTGAATAAAAAGATCTTGTTTGTACTTCGTGTGCAGTGTTGGGGAAAGTTACTTTTAAGAGTAATGCATTACAATAATGTGTGACGCCATAAAAAAGTAACTAATTACGGTACTTAGTTACTTTTTATGGAAAGTAATGCGTTACGTTACTTTTGCGTTACTTTTTAAATCTGGGCAGGGCTTGCTTGCTTGTTTTTAAAATAAAAAAGTTATATTTTTGGCAAATATAAAAGCCTTTTCACACCAAAAGTGAAATGAATAAGCCTCAGGCTGAAGGGAAAGTACATTTACGTCCGTACAGTAGAATGCAGAAGAAGAGTAATTTGTGCTTATTAGTACAGTTGAACTGGATCAGCGAAGGTCAGAAGCAAAGACTTTGGTTAACAGAATGGGAATAAATACATAAAGCATATTTGTGTTGTTTAACACTTAATTATTGCAGGTTTGCATCATATTCTGAGTTGCATTATTTGTATTAATTTTGAGGAATACTGTCACTCTTTTTTATTTTGTGTGTGAGTGAGTGAGATGAGTTAATGCATATTCATATTTATTTTATAACTACAGTTACATCTGATTTCTCTCAACATGGGGACAGGAGAGCTGACAATCAATAAATTGGGAAAAAAAGTAACTTGCGTTACTTATTTGAAAAAGTAACTCAGATATTCTCTTGTAAATTAAAAAGTAATGCGTTACTTTACTAGTTACTTGAAAAAAGTAATCTGATTACAGTATGTAACTCGCGTTACTTGTAATTACCCCCAACACTGTTCGTGTGTAGCCTATTGTGTAGCTGTACAAAACAGCTTGATATCGCAAACTGGTGTGTCTTACCATGTTATTTTAATGTATTATCTTCATTATGAACACACTGGTTTGTAGTGCAAACATACCGTTTACTGCACTTTCTCGTTATTGTTTTTATACAGTCTTTGGTTATTTGACTACAGCGGCTAATTAACCGGAAGTCTCGCACATGCACAGAAAATGGCTTAACTTCCGCGTTGAAAAATGAGGTTCATAAAATAAAATTTAACACACGCAAATTGTAATATTTGAATATTTTCAGTAGGCTTCATTCGTAACATTTCAGAATTCTAGTAAAAAGTATAAAAACGGTTCGTCGGTGAAATCTAAATTCACCTAAATGTAACTGCTACGTAGAACTGAGTATCAGAACTGTATTCAGTATACTGTATTTCACAACTTTTGTTTGTGAGTTATTATTTCAATATCGTAATCCTTCAGGACAATGAATGTTATGTATGCCATGTGGAAGTTGACCTTGTGTCATGGCCTGTCTTTAATCCCTTAATGATACCAGCATACATGGAGTTTTGGCTTAATAAAAGAGCAGAATCGTCTTAATAATATTAATCTGTTTTAATCCGAGTGTTTTGTTCTACTCTAGTGGCATTAGGGATTTTCCAGGGCATTGTTCTTTTCCTGTCTGAAGACTAATTGAAAAGAGAGAATGTGGTTTAGAGGTCAGGTTTTCTTTTACTTAACTGCTGTATATTATGAACAGTAATTAAGAAAATCTGAGTCACTTCTGCAGACTGTTTGTACACATGCTTATCTTAATTTGGACATGCTGTCTGATGAATTTCAATAAAAACCCAAATGACTATGTAAAATCAGTTTTCACTGCATTAACATTTCTTTATTGCTCATAATACTGTCTTGCTTTATCTCCAAGTGGAATCGTCCTATTTGCACTGATGCAAGCAATATCTCATGAGAATGACTTTCCCACAAAATCATACTTCTGGGCCTCAAATCATTTCACAATCTGCCGTTGACCTCACAGATGCTCCAGAGCAAATTAAAACCAGTTTCAAGTCTTATCAGTGGTTTCTTTACTGGTGAAAGGAGTTAAGAATCTTTTGTTGGCTTTAGCAGCATCTGCAAACATCACTTTCTCATGACAATCTGCTTTGTTTTGGGGGATTAGATAGTAATAATCTCCAAATGAGGATCAAAGTCTAATTTCAGCAGCTGAATTATGACCAAATGTCATCCTAATTCTGTTTTTATATGTACTTATGAGTGCCTGACAAGGCAAAATGAGCAGTCTCTTAAATGCTTGTCCCACTGAAATCCCAAAAGATTTTAATCGTTGAACACTTACAAATACATGTACTTCACTGCCACTCGCTGGATCAGGGACAGAACAACACATTGAAGACTACCTCAAATCTCAAGATTTCATAGAAAAAAGAAAAAAAAAAGTTTATTCTTCAGTAACTTTCAGCTCATTATGTAGACATAGTGTGTAAAAATTTTACAAATTAAAATGCAGTTTCTGATACTAAGAACATTTTGTTATATTAGGGTTACTATGAAACCAAGTATGCATGTTAATGATCTATGATTATAAACAAACAAGTTAGTTCAAGAATACATTTCATAAAGCTCTTCTGATTTATTGATAGTATTTTAACTGTAGTTATATTTGGACATTCTTTCACATTATAGCACTTCAGCGGTGATGTATTCTTTGGCAGTGGACACATTCATTTTCCATCTTCACCACAGATCTTCAGCAGGGTTTGACCAAAATCCCCTGATGTTTCAGACTACAATAAAGATATAAGAAAGAACATTATGAATGTGACTACTGACATTAAACCTTATACTGCACTTGCTAAATGCTTACAACCTTTATTTATTATTTGGAAATATATTTATGATCTTTGTTATAAGCACTGGTTTTAGTGTGGCAAAAATGAAGAGACTGGAGGGCAAAAGCAACTTCATAGTAAAGTAAAAACAGTAAAGTATGGAAAGGGAACAAACAAAGAAACATGACAATGCTTTAAAGCAGCAGATTTGTGATTACAATGGGGACGTCAGGTCGCAGTGCAAAGCGTGTTTGATGTGTAGAGGCACACATGCCGGTCAAAAGAATGCTGCAGTACAATGTTAAACTCACGTGTCTTCGCATTTGGTTTTACGCTGAACCTCAGAGAAATCGGTATGACTTTGGATGTTGTCATGCAGTCAGTTGAATTAACAAATTCAATTTATGAACCCCTTCAAGATGCATCAGTCAAATGCAGCCTTGAAGAGCCTACTGTACGCGTTCAGAAGTCATAATCTTGACTACAAGCGATTTAGGTCAGAAAATAATGTACTTGCTTGACAATTTCATATTTAATTCTCCCTTTTTCAATTTTTGACAAAGATACTTTTTTTTAAGCAAACTGAAAAGGAAAGGATGTGCAACTCATGCTTTTCTATGCATTTTGCAACTCTTGTGCAGCCACAGTGAATGATGGTAAACGTTTAGTTACACAAACCCATCACCTCAAAAACCTGCTAGTGATTTATGATAAGCTTTAGAATTATTCTTCATTAACAGTGCACAGAATTCATTCAACTGTAAGTTGCTTTGGATAAAAATGTCTGTCAAATGAATAAATGTAAATGTATGTAAACAAATCAACACAATTAAAACTTAATTACGACAATACAATTATCCTCATCATCATTTTTTCACTGACACACCCCAACCCAGTTAAAGAAAAACTAGTCCCCCTCTGGTAATTACAACATTATAGCGGCACTCATGTGCACTCAATTTGAAAATAGGATATGATAAACACATGACTTGAAGGCAGCTATAGCCAAGAGAACACACACACAAGGTCCTAGGATGACTAGGTCACTGAGGATGTCAATCATTTCATCTGCGAATCCTTATCAGACACTGGCCAAAGTTACTGCCTACCTCACACTTTAACCAGAGCCGTTCAGATATTACTGAAGGTGTACATCAGAAAATGGAACAGGGTCTTGTTACAATCACATGAATAGGAGCAGGAAGACATTCTAGACTTACACTGTAAAATAATGTTCTTTGACGTTTACGGAGAATGTTTTTACAAGAAAATACTATTTTAGTCTTTTGACTTCAAAATTTCACATGTAATTTTAATGTGTTACATGTGATTATTTGTGAAGTTTACTTGCACTGGCAAATGTTTCTACAGCATTTTTTTTTTCGGTGTAATGTACAGTGTACAAGTTCTCATTTAATGCTTCTTACCTCAATGTCAGAGTATAAAGAAGTGCCAAAGAGCTTCTTATATTCTGCCTTGATGTCCTGCAGGTCGACCTCTGAACGGCCCACTATGATTCTAGTTAAGGTCGATTCAGTGGTACCAGCACCCTGAAAGCACAGATGTTTCTGGTTCAAAAATAGTCTGCTTATAGAGGCATTGCAGAATCTTGTTTCACTGTATATCATTTTTGTAATAGGGGAAGTGAATACAGAAAGACAGTTCTAACCTTCATGCTTTTATACAGACGCTCCGCAAGGTATGCTGGGACGCTCTTCACACATTTCACTAAAGCAGAGACATTTTCAATTAGATTTTACAAGTACAAAATTAAGCATGAAACAATACAATATAAAATAAAATACAATAAAACAAAAGATTACGTAAAAAAAAAAAAACTAAACAAAACGGAAAACACATGCATTTTATGAGGAATAATAATACGTGCCTTAACAAATACCAGTAAAAAACCTTTATAATCACCTATAGCCACCAGAATATCCTCCAGTCTTCCAGACATCTCTCGTTCAATGCTTTCCTGAAGGGTCTTTCCACTCAGACTCTTATACTCAACCAGAGCTGAAAGATAAAGATTGAAACACGATTCACACTGCTGAAAGTAAACTGGAACACTGGTCATCACTTATTGGTCTTGTGTATGACTCTGTCACATTTAGTTTTACAGCTCTTTCAGAATGATTACAAAATAGTATATAAAATAATAGATATGAAACTAAGCCAGCAGGTGTACTTTGTCTGAGCTGAGGAACGCTCCTGTGGCAGAGGATGTCGATAAACTTGCTCTCGTCTGTTCCCCACTTTTTCTCTCCGGCCTCGTACAAGATCTGCACAGTGGGAAAAATAGAAGAAGAATGTTGGTAACCAAACAGTTTTGGTTCCCACTGACTTCAACTGTATGAACAAAAATATAATGGAAGTCAATGGGATCTTCTTTTATGTTCTGCAGAAGAAATACAAAGTTCTAACTTAATCTGATATAATCACATCATTTTTCACATGGCACAACTGATTGGTTTCTTTTCACATCAGCAGCCAGTGAGCTGCTGCTTAATATTCAAATACTCGGCTAGTGCTTTCTGTAGCAGTTGCAGCGCGCTTCAAAAACCCTCCCCCTTCCCCAGCTGCACCTGTATAGATCTGCTATGGGTTAATTTCATGTTATGCATTAGCAGTAGCAAGTCTCTGTACTTGCTCTGCCGCCGCAGCATCAGCATAGCAGATCTATTCCATCAAGACCAAACACATTGCCATGGATATTACCATGCTAAAACTCTTCGAGAGTTGTCATGACAGAAAGAAACTCACAGGTTTGGAACGACATGAAGATGAATAAATGATGCAAGACTTTTCATTTTTGGGTGGACTGTCCCTTTGATACACAGGCATACATGGGCAGAATAATTGAAGTATGTGGGTATATATTGGAGATTTAGTTTTTTCATTCAATTCTTTTAACTGAGTTTGGTTGTACTTATGTATACACCTGATAAAACATCAGCAATAGTGTTTTCACTTCACCTTGGCATCCTCTTTAGCTTTTGCCACGTCCACGTTCGTACTTTCAACCCTCTTACCCTTTTAGTTAGAAAGAAAAATGGCAAGTGAAACAGCAGCATCACTCATTTGAATGAATTTAAATATGATGATTTGACTGAACCTCAGCGAGGATCAGCAAGGTCTTTTCAAAGTCCCCGGACACCTCAGATTTCAGGTCGTGAATTAGAGCTCTTCCGGTTTCTGGAAAATAGACAACACTTAAATGGCATCCAAGTAAAAAATATTTAGATTATGGAAAAATATCAAATAAGGAACGTTAAAAAATACAAACCAGCCAAATATGCATCACACATAGCCTTGATTTGATGGTTCGAACGTGATGCAAAAAGTTCTATCAAAACGCTTTCGGTTGTACCGGCACCCTGTGATCAAACTCAATCTGTTAACAACTTCATTGATGTAATCTTGGTTAAATTCAAAATAAAGGCATCTAAACCAGGGATGGGCAACTGGCGGTATACGGTCCGCAGCATCTTTTAGTACGGCCCGCTGGATCATATTAGACTCGGATGATCAATTTTAAAACAATTGAAATGCTAGTCACATAAAGATTGCTTTCAGTTTATGATGTTAATACTATCTCCAATCAGGAGAGGTCGCTATTTCCAGCCACTCCCCTATTCATTTCAGCATAGGATGTGCACTCTAATGTAAACATTCATTAACATTAGCAAATAAAAAATGAAAAACTGACCATGAAAACAGTATTTTCAAGTCAAGATGGTAAACAGATTATCTTTTTACCATGTTCAAGGGGATACCCATATGTTTGGAAATCTGTATTTTATTTAAATCGCCATCACACCACTGCTCACAAACCACGGGGACGCCAGAGTTGCACTTGCCTCAAATTTCAAAGGTAAAATTCATAGTCAACAAAAGCTTTTTGCCAAATGCATGACAGAAATGTTTGCACTGGACTGTTCTTATTAGGGTTTCCGCGGGTCCTTAAAACATCTTCAGTTAAATTCCAGGTTATTTTATGGTACCATTTAGAATCACTATTTTTTTTAATTAAGCCCTTTTTAACTGTCCTTTTAGGTTGTTTTGAGAATGTTCTGTAGGCTACTAATAAAAAAGGACCTCTGTATATTTGTCTGTTGCAAATTTACAGACTATGCAATTGAAATGTTTACATCGGCTTGTCGGGGTAATATCTCTGTCCACTCACAACAAGGTTTTCCTTCTTAATGAGCATAACTGCACAAGTTTTATACTTAATAAAATCTTTAAAAACAAATGACATTAGTTACACTTGAATTTCCTTCAATAAAAAGGAAATTGAGTAAGACGGTGTAAAAGGTGTGTGGACGTGGATTAGTAACCTGGCCCCTTGGTATAAAGGAGAAAAATGCTGGCCCTCGTCACTATAAAAGTTGCCCATCCCTGATCTAAACTATTAGCAGTCAAAAAGAAAATGCATTGTGTACTTTTATAGCCCCTATGAACTCTTGGCAGTCAAACTTAGCAGGAGGAGTGATCAGGGCCACCAAAATACCCTCAAGATCTCCACGTGTATCACCTTCCAAGTCATCACAAAGAGTCTAAGATGAAAAACATACGCATGTTTTTATATATCAGGCAACATTCAACAGCTAGTTAAACATGTGTACAGGTAATACAGTGTTTTACCCTCCCAGTGGCGTCCTGATACGCTTTACAGACCAGCTGGCGCTGGGCATTGCTTCTTTGAGTCAGAATGTCAATAAGAGTCTTTTCAGTAGTGCCTGAGGAATTACAAACGCAAACACACAGTTCCTCATTGTGACACAAGGCCAACAGCCAGCCAATAGAAAGCAACAGGATTTCAACATCTCAGCTGGATGTGTGCAGTGTAAGTTCACTAAAAGTCCACACCCATGTTACTTAGTGACTTACCAATGCCTTCAATAGCTTTCCTTAAAGCGGCAGCATCCTCGCCTGGATTAAAGCCCGGCTTCTCCTTAATGGTGCCACGTACTGTTGACTTAGTAAAACATGGATCATGTTGATATATAACCCTTTATAACTTACTATATGAAATGTATAACTGTATAAAATACAATCACAGTCTTACATTTACAGTCAAAGAAGAGGGGGAGTCCAGGAGAAGATCCAAATCATCCTGAAAATAGAAAACAGAACGTACAAAGTCTTCTGAAAAATGATTATCTTCAGTAAATATCACAGAGCAAGAAATGTAAATGTAGAGTCACTTCATCCTGAAATGGTTAAAGTAAAAATGAAATAAACAGCAGCACTGACCCATACAGAAGACATTCCTGCTGTTGTGGGTGGGTTTCAGTTCTGTAACCACCAGATATTAGTTAGTTATATTAAACATAACTTAAAATAGAAGTTCTTTAGTTACATACTTTTAGTCACTAACAAAAGTTGGGATGTTTTCCAAAGCATTAAGCAGCATTAATTCTAATAGCGCATTTTTATGAAATATGTGTTAAAAATGGAGGATTAGATCCCGAGAAGATCCAAATCATCCTGAAAATAGAAAACAGAACGTACAAAGTCTTCTGAAAAATGATTATCTTCAGTAAATATCACTTTCAGAGCAAGAAATGTAAATGTAGAGTCACTTCATCCTGAAATGGTTAAAGTAAAAATGAAATAAACAGCAGCACTGACCCATACAGAAGACATTCCTGCTGTTGTGGGTGGGTTTCAGTTCTGTAACCACCAGATATTAGTTAGTTATATTAAACATAACTTAAAATAGAAGTTCTTTAGTTACATACTTTTAGTCACTAACAAAAGTTGGGATGTTTTCCAAAGCATTAAGCAGCATTAATTCTAATAGCGCATTTTTATGAAATATGTGTTAAAAATGGAGGATTAGATCCCGATTACATCGCCTATGTCACATTGCAGAGTTTATTCTCTATGCAATTTCATATGCGAGTCATAAGGGCATGACCAAATCCGCTAACATCACTATGTGCTCGCTGAGAGCAACACAGCGTGAAAATGGCGTCTTTTACAGATGAATACTTGGCAAAACACCAAACTCGACAATGTTGGTAAGCGCGCGATTGGCTTTAATGCTGATTTCTATAGACAAAGGAACAAACGTTTCAACTTTACCTTTGCTAAAGCGTCCGTCCACTATAAGCCACAGCTTTCACGGGTCTCTCCGCGACTACTGCACCCAAACACAGAGGATATGAGATCAAAATGAGCTCACGAGCTCGTGTATCACGCAGCACATCACAAAGCCTATGTGATAAATGTGGAGATAAACCAGTTCAGATGTGCAGTAGGGTCGAAAGATTTCAGATCAATTCGTGGCTTCTATTTTAAAATACAAATATATTTTTTAGCTTATAAATGATATTTTCAACATCATTGAAATGTGTTGTTGTTGTTATTATTATAATACAAATAATAGAAAATAAAGTTTCATTTCCCTTCAGCAAATATTTATGTCCTTATATTCTATATAACTAGCAGTGTTGAGCTGGCCTCTGCTGATCCAGTTCAACCACACTGATAAGCAAACATGACTTTAGAGAAACTAACAATTGTGTTTTGTTTTTTTATTGCTGAAGAGTGTTTCTTCTGCGTTCTACTGTACAGACGTGAATTTACTTGTGCTTCAGCCTGAGGTTTATTCATTACACTTTTTGGTGTGAAAGGGCTTTTATATTTGCTATAAATAGAACTTCTTATAAAACAATCAAGCCCTGCTTAAATTTAAAAAGTAACACGAAAGTAACGCAAAAGTAATATAACGCATTACTTTCCATAAAAAGTAACTAAGTAACGTAATTAGTTACTTTTTTAGGCAGTAACGCAATATTGTAATGCATTACTTTTAAAAGTAACTTTCCCCAACACTGTTAACTATTATATAAAATAAAAAAAACGTGTTTTCAGAAACAAAAGCTCATGTTCCCAGAACAAACACTTCTGTTTAGATCTTTAGACCTGGTCTTAATGGACTAGTTTGTGACATATGAAGGCCCCATTTTACATACACACAAGTTTAATGAGTCGTGGGAGCTGTATATTGATGCCAAAATGAGCAAGAAAGCTCATATCCGGAAAGTGACCCTAACTAAAATCAAACAACACTTCATAATTTCCTGTGCAAATAAGGAAGTTGATTGATTGTATTATTAACTTTGGGTCTTCTGCCAGAACCAGCAGCTGTTAGCACAGTCATAAAGTTCAAATATGAAACATCAAATATAAATATGTTTATATATACGTTCCTGTTTGATGAGTACATTATTTTAATGAACATTTAATGAATGGTCTTAGATCTTGGTGGGAAGAAACACACATTTATGTAAAGTATCTTTTCCTGAAAAGTAGTAACAGTATGAAGAAACTCTAATACATGACCTACAGCTTTATTTTACTCATATTCAACTATCAAATGAATATCAAGCACGCTTTTAAGTCCTTTCCTGTTCATTCCACAGTATAAAACCAGAAAAAAGCACAATCAGTAGCCAACTCTGTGATCTTTAATCAAAGTAAATCAATTTTTTTAGTGTAGGCGATTTAATGGTTTTCAGAAAGAAAAAAAAATTATAATAAAAAATATTACAAATATAAACAGTACAACAATGAAAAAAAAAAAAGAATTCATGAAATAGCAATAATGGAAATAGTTGGGGTGGGGGCTGTTATTGTAATTAATTTATTATTCTAAAATGTAATTTTTAAAATTACATTCTTTTTTTTAATAATAATAATTTTTAAAAAATCACAATAAATTATTGAACTTATAAATATGTTGCCTACCTTGAATGCAATGAAGGTTACTTTGGATAAAAACATCTGCCAAATGCATAAATGTAAATATTTAAAACAAAAATCTTGCATAAAGAAAAAAGTTTAACCTAGTTAAAAAAAAAATACCTTCATTGTTTATAGTTCACTCGTGTAGTTTTATTGTGTTCAGATGTTTACCATTACAAAAATATAAATTGTAATTTTAGTTTAGGACATGGTTCCCAAAAATGAAACCGATTCAAGAGGAATTAAATGAACTAGACGTTTGAAACTAATAGACAAAACCACTGCTAAAAAAAAAACCGATTGGATTTTTAGTCCAAGGCTTGTGACAACTAGCCCCGGTCTCCCTGTAACAGCGGATTCTAACGGGTTACACTGTCTGCTGTCTCCCTCTGCTGGTCGTTACTGTGCAAAATACAAAATCAGCTTTATTTTTCGAAAGCCCTGACCTCGTGGAAATGTCATGAGAAACGAGAAACGGATATAGTGTGAAAAGCAAAGAGCTTGATGAAAGTCTGATTCAGCTCTCATTTGTCAAGAGCTGTTGAGGTCTACAGCTTCGCTAAATCACCTGTTCTCCACACCACTGCTGTAGATACATTCATATTTCAATTTCACGAGAGGCCAGCTGAGTGTATGTAAAACACTAGTCCTCTTTTATCTATAGTCTAATCTCCAGTGCAGCACCCTTGAGGAAATTGTGGGTTGAAGGAAGAAGCGGACGATCCAAGCCGGAATAACGTCTTAAGTGCAGATTGATCCAGAACACTGTGGGATACCAAGTCTTTCCCAGAGAGCCCAGAAGAGCCCAGAAGAGCCCAGAAGAGCTGTGTGCTGGCAGAAGAGTGTGCACTATAGCTGAGGCAAATCCAGAATCAATTACTTCCATTTATGAAATATGATAATAGAATTTTATTCTGGATAAAGTGAGCACATTTGAGATCAAAACAAACTTACACTCTAAAAAATGCTGGGTTGTTTCAACTCAACTTTGGGTCTAAAAATGTAATGTAAAAAGTTGACCCAAAGTTGAGTTGAAACAACCCAGCATTTTTTAGAGTGTAGATTAAATTAGATATAAATTGACGTAGCAGGGACCAAGAAAAAAAAGATTTTGGATTTTTTTTTCATTACGTGTGTTTAGAACATATCAAATGTGACAAAAATCTTTTTAAAAACTGTATTTGTATTCAAATTGTATTGTTTAGCAAGGTATAAGCCTATGACTAATTTCGCATTATAACTAATTAACATATGGGATTTTTTGTCCTATTTATTAATTTATCAAAAAATACATAAAAAAAAAATACAAAGACGTGTATCTCTAAAGAGTATGTATCAAAATGTGTCAAAAATATATAACCGTGATCAGTGGCGAAGCCTACCGCACATCTTAGAGCCCCCCACCCCAAAGAACAGATGGGGCCCCTCCCACCAGCAGTGATGTCATGTATGAAAATTTATTGTGCAAATGCTGCAATTACTCTACTGAGTCCGTCTCTCCAGGGGCGCCGCTAGGGGGGAAAGTTAGGTCTATTCTAAGGGCCCACGCACTTTTGGGGCCCCCAGAGATCTGTTTTATTAGTAGTAACAGTAGTAGTAGTAATGGAATGGAAATTATAAATGTATCTACCAAAGAGTTAAAAATAAAACTAAATTACGGCTTATTTCTGCATTTCCGGCAAAATTATCTCCCCCCATTCACTGCATGGTTTCGTCCCGTCCTATGTGAGATCAGATGGTAAACTGTCAAATTAGAGATGTCTTCGAGTTCGAGGGGGGGCAAACCGAGCCGGACGATTTGGTTCCCAGTGAAGCATTTCTATTAATATAACTAACTAAATTAATATATACTGATACCTAATGGTCAAAAGCAATAGCAAATGTAATAGGTCAATATTATTAAAATGCAGACAAAGATTTTAAATAGCTAGGTTGGCTTGTACACTATATTGCCAAAAGTATTGGCACACCCCCTTCTAATGAACAGGTTTGACTACTTTAGTAATTTCCATGAGTTCAAATCTTAATGTTTAAGCATATAATGATATTCTAGGGAATTGTTCATTATAATCACCAAACACCAATGACTTGTACATATGCGTACAATCATTTTAGACACTTCCAAAACTGGAAATACAACTTTTAAATACATGAATTATGTTTCCATCGTTGTTGCCACAGTTTTGGAAGTGCCTTTTTCTGTTCTAAGGAAGGGGGTGTCCCAATACATTTGTCCATATGTATGTACGTCATTGGTGTTTGGTGAGTTTTTGGCTCAAGGTCTGCATTTAAAGTCACACCAGAGGTGTTCAGCTGGGATTAGGACTT